ACACTGTATTTCTAAATCTCCTCCCCACAAATCATTGCGTCTCTCACTTCCTTTTAACTCATGCTCCCAAGCCTTCAGCTTAATGTTCTGAACAGAAAACTGTCTTAGAAACTATTTCCAAGAAAACCGTCTCCTCAATTTATCGTGTAGGTTCCCAGAAAATAAACTTATTTTTCTGTTTGTTTCTTACAGGATCCCACGGTCTTAGAAGAAGGACAAAGACATGGAAGGCAAATAGGATATAGAAGGTTCTTAAATATCTGTGAAATAAACGGTGATCACTTATAATATAATGTCCTAAATAATAATAAACTCTTTTCAGGTTTTCTTTTTAATCCTGTTTCCAGATTCTAGCACGTTGTAAATATCTTATAAACACTGTGGCTTTCTCATAAATACCTGTGCAAGAAATGCATAAATAACTGAAATTATCATTACACCGAAACCTTAATGCACTTGACCTCTCTTTATAATATGCTTTAGACAAAAATCAGAATATCAAACTCTTTAATTTTTAATTTTCTAGAAAAAACTCAGGCACAGGTGACAGAGCTTAACTTAATTTTTTTTTCTTTAGCTACCTGATATTTGCAATAATGTCCTACATTTTTCTTCTTCTATTTTGAGGGCCATATCCAACAGTGCTCAGGAGCCTTGAAGTGCCACAGGTGGAAGCTGGGCCTCACAGACGCAGGATATGGCCTGTCCCTTGAGCCACATTCCCAGCACCATTATTTTTTGAATACTAACCTGAAATAATGTTCTGCTTGGATCCATCCGCAGAGTCTTTGCTGAAGGCCGATATTTGATTTGTTTGAGCATCTTCTGCACAAATAACCTCAGACAAACTTTTCCTAATCTGAGTGCATTCTACTTCTGAAGTGGGGCTGCACTGACAGTTCCACAAGACTGTCTCGTTCAGCTTTTCTCTTAATGCTGCACACGTGTGGCCTCCCTCCTTGCTCTTGCATTGCTCTGATTCTCTCCCGCAGTTTTCCTTAAAATTCTTATATAGAAGAGCACAGTGTTCAGTTTCCTCACAGATGCGTGTTGACGTGACACAGTCGTGTGTCTCTTCTGTGGTTAAGGATGCACCTTTCTGATGGAGCCACTGAGTGACATTAGGTTGGGATTCTGAGACTGCTGGTTCTTCTACAAGTTAAAAACATGTGACTACAATTCAATCCATTAATTTACATAAGACATTTTAAGTACTTGAGACAAATGTTTTCTACAAGACATAGATGTCTTTTCATAAATATTCTGAAATCCATAGTCTCCTGAAAACCATTGACAAAAATACCTCCAGAAGTACCTGAACCTGGGTTGGAGACACAGACCGGTGGATAAGACGCCTTCCCCCTGCAAGGCTGACCAGGTCTCCATTCCCGGCAACGTACTGGCTTCACCTTCCCCACCCCCAGCATCCTCAGGACTGATCCCTGACCAAAATGATACTTAATTATTTTAAATGAAGATAAATATTAAAATGAAGATGCCAGGGAAATAGTAAATAGGGCCAGCATTGCATGCCTTGCATACCTAAGGCCTTCCTCAAGTTTTATCTCCCACGTTCTATACCCCCTGAGCACTGTTGTGGTGGCCCCTTGATCAGTCTTTGCTGATAACTTTGTTCTCCAATGTCCACTGCATATTGGTGAAATTTTAATTCCACATATATACTACGTGTCTGCATATTGACTGAATATGTATCTGTACTATACACATATTAAGCAGCAAGTTTTTGTCATTGTTGTTGGACCCCAAGTACCAATTTTTTACCCTATGTTTGATACTGAGAGTGCATATTTCATTAAATAATTACAACTGAGTAGGGGCTGGAGTGATAGAACAGCGGGTAGGGCGTTTGCCTTGCACGCGGCCGACCTGGGTTCGATTCCCAGCATCCCATATGGACCCCCAAGCACCGCTAGGGGTAATTCCTGAGTGCAGAGCCAGGAGTAACCCCTGAGCATTGCCGCATGTGACCCAAAAACCAAAAAAAAAATAATTACAACTGGGTAATGTTTATATGAACATGAGAGAGAAGGTAGAAAAAGCTTTTTGAATTTATAAGACTCCAATTACCTTAACACAAACTTACAGAACTATTCAGTTTGCTTCTAAAATGAGTTGTTTCTCTGAGGCGCTTCAAGTGAATCACCATAATGAAAAATTCACTTGTCCTGTTGTGCACCCCTCAACCAGAGCCATGTTTATTCCACTGTTAATCTGCTTTTTTTTAAAGAAAAAAAACTGCTTAATCTCTTTCGGTAAGTGAGATTTTTCTATGCATTAGATTTTACAATGCCTCATGTAAAGATCAAAATCACAGAATCAATTTAATGCTATGAAAATCACTGTCACTATCCTCCTCTTGTTCATCAATTTGCTCGAGTGGGCCCGGGGTTGGAGCGATAGCACAGCAGGTAGGGCATTTGCCAGGTTCGATTCCTCCGCCCCCTCAGAGAGCCCGGCTAGCTACTGAGAGTAACTTGTCCTCACAGCAAAGCCTGGCAAGCTACCTGTGACATATTCGATATGCCAAACACAGTAACGAGTGTCACAATGGCGACGTTACTGGGCTATGAAAATATTTACACCAAAATTTCTAGTGCATCTTTATGAAAATCTCTGATAAAGCAACCAAAAGAAATACAGCTACACATGATGAGTAATTTATTAAATTAATGGCTTTATTAACACAGTAGGTATTAATATAAAAACCAAATCCACGAATCAAAAAAAAAAATCTAGGTGTCAGGGAGGTAGCTCATAGGGCTGAAGTGTTTGACTTGTATGCTCATGTACCAAGTCTGATGTGTGTGTTCTGTGTGTGTCCAAGAGCCCCACCAGGTGTATCTCTGGCAGCCTGTCCACCACAACGCTGCATCACCAGGAGTCCTGCCAGGTGTATCTCCGGCAGCCTGAGTGTCATAGCACTGCATCACGAGGCCTACCACTGAGCCATCATGTACACACAGCCGAGGCCAATACAAAAAGCAAACTACTTTTACTACTTTTTTTTTTGGCTTTTTGGATCACACCCAGCAATGCTACTCTTGGCTCTGCACTCAGGAATCACTCCTGGCATTGCTTGGGGGCCCATATCGGGTGCTGGGGATTGAATCTGAGTTGACTGCATGCAAGGCAAATGCCATCCCCACTGTATTCACTCCGCCCCCTCAAACTACTTTTTGTCCACAGCTACTTTTCTAGTTTCAAAACATTTCTTTTTAATTTTCTCAAATAGATCCCTGTCACTGTCATTGTCCTCGATTGTTCATCGATTTGCTCCAGCGGGCCCAGTAACATCTCCACTGTGAGACTTGTTACTGTCTTTGGCATATCGAATACATCACGGGTAGCTTGACAGGCTTTGCCGTGTGGTCAAGATACTCTCGGTAGCTTGCCGGGCTCTCCGAGAGGGGCGGAGGAATCGAACTTGGGTCGGCCATGTTGGCTGCTTGTAAGGCAAACACCCCACAGCTGTGCTATGAAAAATATTTTTATAATGATTTGATTATGACTTTTATACTTCTTCATATTTTTATATAGTCTTATACTCCCCAAATTATGTCTATTTTAATTATTCTTCTCGGCAGAGTCTGGCAAACTCCCCATGGCGTACCCAATATGCCAAATACCAGTAACAATGATGGGTCTCATTCTCCTAAAGAGCCTTGAATATAATCTCAGGGCTAGGATGAAGGAGACGTTACTGGGGCCTGCTGAGGCAATCGATGAATAACAGGATGGTCGTGATTCGTGATTCTTCTCAATTCAAGATTCAAGCTTCCAAATGCCATGGAGAGGAGGTGCATTTCCTTATTCATTTTCTCTAAATTATTGCTTATCATATCAGTCTTAAAACAGAATACAAACATTCCTGTCATAAATGATCTAAAACATGTTCAAGATGTTGTTATTTTTAATATAACTCATCAGCGTTGTCCCCAACTTTATATGTACCATGTTCAATGTATAGTGATAACTTTGTCACAGATCAGCAACTTATATAACTTGCTTAATATTTCATGCCCCTTGTACTCAACTGTTCACTGATCTTTATTATTATACATATTTTTAATGTCTTTATTTCTCAGTCTTCAGAATCGTTCACTAACTTCGGTGCATATTACCTCTCTCACCCATGTAATTTTGTGACATTTTAATATTCCTGGTGTGAATCTTCCCCTTTCTAAGATGTCCTCATACTGGTGACATCCTTTGAAAAGCTAATTCTGAAAATCTTTTTTAAAGTGTTGAGTATACTCCTACCAATGTTTTAAGTATTCTCACAACAGGAAGATCTGATATCTCAGTTCTTCAGAAGCATCTGTTGGCTCGTTTATTTGTTTCGACATCATGATCTCTTGACAGTCCATTCTACAATCTGGCTTAACATTGTCTACTGTGCCCCAAACATGTTGCATGACATATTATTGGTCTTTCTCAGAGACCCTGAGTTATTTAACAGAAAAGGCATACCTTCTATTATTTAGGTCTTGCACAAAATCAAGTGAACGCCAACGAAGAATGCATTGGTTGAACAGATCAATCATTCAAATAATTATAATTGAATTAATCTTAAATTATGGTTAGCAAGCATACAATGTGTCTATCCTCACAGACACCTGCAGCTGACAGAACCGTAAGTTACACCAGAATTAATCAAATTGTAAAAAATAATAAATTTTCATAGATTTGATCAAATTTGAAATAGTACTTTTCTTGTGAAGCAAAATAGTTTCTGTTTAAAGGAATTTACTTGGGAAGTGTGAGAGAAGACAAAGAAATAAATGTTCAAGAGCAAACATGGCTTTCTCCAGAGTAGAAAAAGCAAGGAGAGAGAGAGAAAGAGAGAGAGAGAGAGAGAGAGAGAGAGAGAGAGAGAGAGAGAGAGAGAGAGTAGGGTTCAAGCGAGAAGACAGGTCTGAAAAAAATGCCACAATAGTACTTTTCTATAACTGTAAATATTACAAATAAGCACGTGTTACCTGATTTATTGATGCATTTCTCCCCAAACAATTTGGTACCAGTACAGTGGAGAGCACCAGTGCAGAAACAGTCATTGAATTGAGTGTAAGTTTGCACAAAAGACCAGATGTTCAGATCACAGTATGCTGAATCCTTTGTCTTGCAGAGGTTACCTGGATTTTACAGGCAGACATGTAACAATTTAGATGTTGATATTTCTTGAGGGGTGGGCCATGCACAGTGCTTCTCAGGGCTTACTCCTGGCTCTGTGCTCAGGAATCACTGCTAGATGCTGGGGAGAGAACCAAGACTGAGCTGTCCCCAATCACAGCTGCTTCCTACCCCAAGGAGTAAGATCATTATGATAGTAAGATCAAGGGTAGCTGCTATAATTACATTCGGATATGTGACTTTGAAGCAAAGCTTCATATGAAACCTGTTTCTCAGGGTTTGAGCAATAGTATCGCGGGCAGGGCATTTATTTGGCATGTGGGGTACTGGATTTGATCCCTGGTACATAAGTCCCTCTAGGAGTATTCTCTAACCACAGAGTCAGGAGTAAGCCCTGAGCACTGCCAGCTGTGCCACCTCCCTCCAAAAATCTGTTTCTCTTTAGTGTTCAATGTTTTAAATAGGCTCTAACATTCAGATTTTTTTTAAAAAATAACTTCTAAATACCAATTTCTTCTTTAATAATGATTAAACGTTCCCTAATATAAAGTAATCCAAATTCTCTCTAATAGTAGTCATTCTAAGTTTGCCTGTTTTATTAGATATTTTGTCTTAATCTACTATTTTATTTCACATGTCATGATGAGATTATAAGATCTGTGTAGCTGCTTCTAAATTTATCATGGGAAGCAAAGTAATCCTAGAACTTAAGCACTCAGATATTATCGAATAACGAATCTTCCATAATTACTACTGTTTCACTTTCCATTTTAATTTAAAAAGCCATATTTAGTAACCCAACAATTTTGCTATTCATTTTCCTAAATAAAACTACTTGAATTCATTTCATTTCGGCTTTGAGAATATTTTCTCAGCTTCATGCACGTGATAATTATGAAAATATTATTGTAATTCACTGCAAATGACTTATCATTTCTATGTGAAGTGGTTATAATTTATGACACTGTGAATAAGTATTTTAACAATGCATTTTAAATTGCCCTATGAAATATAAGGCACTTTGTCATCAAACCAAATAACATTTGTTTGCCATTGTCTCCTGTTATTATCTTAAAATTATTGTACTACTCTGAGCAAATTATGCCTTTGAAATTCTTTTCCTGACCACCAACAATAGTGCCCTATTAATAGCTATGTTCTATTCCACACATGCCCCTCCAGGGCAAAAAAGAGCCGGAATTTCTCTGCTCTCTTCTGCCTTCACTCTAATGACTGGAGGTCATATAATTAGGAGCTTTTCTCACAAAGACTGAGAGCACAGAACTTTTGAAAGTAAAGGTTTGATTCTTCTTTACACCAAACACTTCATCCAACAAATTTTGGAAAGCAGAAGTATATGCAGAGAAGCACGAATCAACACAAGTACAGAGTTTACTCTTTGTCGAACAGAGAAACAACATTAAAGAAGAAAAATGTTTATTTTCTTTTCTAAAAGTCTTGTCATTGTAGTGTTTGTTCAGGTAAAAATGTTCTATTATATAATTAGTATATGTACACAGAGTTATAGTTCTCTCATTTAGTATTTACTCAGTTACTTATATATTAAGGACATATTTTTCAATTAAACAACTAAGTGATTCCTAAATAGTCACGTTTTGTGCCACTTGTGACTTCATTCAAATGACAAGTCAAAGATAAAAACGTATTTTCAACCTGTTTGATACACAGTTTAAATGGAAAATAGTGTGTATGTCTTTTATTTCTTGTCATTCCCAATTTAATCAGACACAAATATATAAGAAAAGGGCATTTTTATTTGAAAAATATATATTTCTTGTTTTGGTGTCACACCTGGCTATGTGCAGGGATTACTCCTGACTCAGTGCTCAGGAACCCCTGGTAGGGCTTGGGGAACTATATAGGGTACCTGCTGTACTATCTGTCTAACGATCACGATCACGATCACGACCATCCTGTTGTTCGTCGATTGCCTCGAGCAGGCCCCAGTAACGTCTCCTTCGTCCTAGCCCTGAGATTTTTTTTAAAAAGTGCCTTATTAGAGGCTCTTTCAGGGTTAGGAGAATGAGACCCATCATTGTTACTGGTATTTGGCATATTGGGTACGCCACGGGGAGTTTGCCAGACTTTGCCGTGTGGGCAGGTTGCAATAGGTAGCCTGCCAGTTTGTCCAAAGTAAGAATGAGATAATAACATCTGTCTAACATCTTAAAAAATGTATGCTTCTGAAAATTACTCTCATGGTTATAGAGTTATACAATATGACATACATAAAAATCACAAATCACAAAATCACAAATCATCCTGTTAATCGTCGATTGCCTCGAGCAGGCCCCAGTAACGTCTCCTTCATCCTAGCCCTGAGATTATATTCAAGGCTCTTTAGGAGAATGAGACCCATCATTGTTACTGGTATTTGGCATATTGGGTACACCACGGGGAGTTTGCCGGACTCTGCCCTGTGGGCAGGCTACATTCGGTAGCCTGTCAGTTTGTCCAAAGTAGGAATGAGATAATAAGATGTCATAATAATAAAACATAAAAATAAAACTGGAAATTTTCCTTAAATCCACCTGTAATTTCAATACATTAGTTACCAATTCCTTTTTACAACTAAATTCTCTAATATGCAATTGAAGGTAAATCATTTAGTTATAAATTTGAGTAATGTATTTAGAGCACAACTTAATTTCCAGGACAAGTGAAAGGAAATAGCAATTCAATGTTTATCACATTAAAAAGAAGTGCCCTGAAGGGTCCAAAAGCATAATACACTATCTGACTCCTATGTTCACTGTAGCACTAGTCGCAATAGCCAAAATCTGGGAAAGAAACAAGTGTCTAAGAACAAATAACCAGATAAAGAAGCTATTGTACATATACACAATGGAATACTACGTGTCAGTAAGAAAAAGATAAAGTTATTCAATTAGCTGATACATGGATAGATCTGGAGTGTATCATATTAAGGGAAGCTAGCAGTGGGGAAAGGGATAGACATAGAATGATTTCTCTCATATGTGGGATACAGAGAAACTTTGTGAGGAAATGACAGAGCCCAAAAGGCAATACAAAGGAAGGGTCCTTCAGTAGGAAGGCTCTTACTGGGTCGGAGGTCTAAGGGATAAATTAGGAAAGGAATGCCAGTACAATGGTGGAGGGGAAAAGTACCTATTCTAGAGCTAGGCTGGGGGGACAGGAAAGAAACTGGGGACAATGATGAAGATTGGCGGAGGGATTGGTTTTGGAACGGTAAACCTAAAACCTGATAATGAATAACTTTGTCACTCTGTAATTTATGGTGATTAAAAAATATGCCCTCCCGTTGATCGTCGATTTGCTCGAGCGGGCCCAGTAACGTCTCCATTGGAGACTTTGTTGTTACTGTGTCTGGCATATCGGATACTCTCGGTAGCTTGCCGGGCTCTCCGAGAGGGGCGGAGGAATCGAACTCGGGTCAACCATGTTGGCCGCTTGTAAGGCGAACGCCCTACCCGCTGTGCTATCGCTCCAGCCGGAAAAAAAATAGTGAAACCACCCGAGCACATTTCAAACAGCTTTACCTGAAGCATTGCAAGCCTCTTCTATCATTTTCCATGCGTGCTTACATCCATTTTCATCACTTAGACATTGCTCTCTTAAGTCTAAGCAATCAGTGGTTGGGGAAGTGCTCTCGTTTTCCAAGAATAGCCCCACAGCTTGAATAGCAACAGCAAAAGGACAAAAAGAAAACAAGTTTGCAGCCTTACAGTATCACAGTGACTAAATACACACTCTTAATGTTGAAAATGATGAAAAATAAATCAATTTATTATTAAGTCTGGAATAAATCCTAATCTCCTGTCTAGGTATAGAGCTTTATTTCTATATTTTTCCTCTAAAATGTTCTTAAACTGAAATGTGTATTTATCTCTTTCTTATTCTCTACTAATTTCTTAACGTATAATTCATTTTTATGATTTACACTGCTGAAACTGCTCTTCAAATGCAATAATAAACTCTAATATCAATGTACATCTTTTTTTCTGTTTATTTATTTTAATCAATCACTGTGACGTACAGTTACAGACTTACAAACTCTCATGCTTACATTTCAGTCATACAATGATAGAGTAACCATCCCTCCACCAGGCCCATTCTCCATCACCAATGTTCCCAAGTATCCCTCCCATCACTCCCATCCCATCCCATCCCACAGCCAACACCTCTGTGGCTGGCTCATTCCCTTTCACTCTCTCTCTCCTTTAAGGTATCATGGTTTGCAATGCAAGTATTAAGTAGTAACCATCTTCGGTCTATAGTCTACTTCCAGCACACATCTCCCATCCAGAGCTGGTCCTCCAAACATCCTTTATTTGGCGTTCCCTTCTCTATCTGAGCTGCCTTTTCCCCCAGCATGTGAGGCCGGCTTCCAAGCTGTGGAGTAATCCTCCTGGTCCTTATCTCTTCTATACTTTGGTGTCTAACATCAATTTACATCTTAAGGCTTCATTTTGTCTATTTTTGTCATTTTGTTCTTGAGACTTTCCCTTTGACAACCTCCTCTTCTAGTTCTCTTAATATCTACCCACCCGATTCTTCCTGAACATAGAATCTTTCTCATAATCCTTTAAATATTTCATTAAAATTATGGTTTAGCCTAGGTTCTATCCCCAGGCCTTCCTCATTGTCTGTGGGCAATTCCAGCTAATATCACGAACCACGATGAATCACGACCATCCTGTTATTCGTCGATTGCCTCGAGCAGGTCCCAGTAACGTCTCCTTCATCCTAGCCCTGAGATTTTCTAAAAAGTGCTATATTCAAGGCTCTTTAGGAGAATGAGACCCATCATTTTTACGGTATTTGGCATATTGGGTACACCACGGGGAGTTTGCCAGACTCTGCCGTGTGGGCAGGTTACATTCGGTAGCCTGCCAGTTTGTCCAAAGTAGGAATGAGATAACAAGATGTCATAATAAGATGTTGCGCGGCTGCAAATGTGGCTGAGCGGTTCTGGGAGCAGAGTTTTATAGTTTTAAGTTGAACAAGCTAATATATTTTTGTAAATAGAATCTCTAGGATAGGGGACAAAGCTATCGTAAGGCAGATAGAATGCTTGCCTTACATTTGGTTGACCTGAGTTGGATTCCCAGCATCCTAAATGTCCCCCTAAGCCTGCCTGGAGTGATCCTTGAACATGGAGCTAGAAGTGAGCACTAAGCATTGTTTGGGGTGGAACAAAAAAATATAATCTCTAGGATAATGACTCTAAAATCTATAACTCAACCCTATTACTTACAATGCTATCAATAGTCTCCTCTTGAATATTTTCTCTTAAAACTTTGTTTTAGTCCCAGATGGGGTAGGTGCCACATCCCGCCTCCTCCAGATGGAACCCCGGTGACCATGAGCCTCTACAAGCATAGCTCGAGTATGTGGGAACCAGGACCTTTACCCCAAACCGACATCTCCCTATATACAAAGTGATCAATGGAAAGTAAATCATCCAACGTTTCTCCCTGAAAATCAGACTTATCTCTTACACAAACCACAACACCCAATAGGAGAGAGAGAGAACAAAAGGGAATGCCCTGCCACAGAGACAGGGTGGGATGGGGGGGGAGTGGGAAGGATACTGGGATCTGTGGTGGTGGGAAATGGTCACTGGTGGAAGGATGCGTATTTAAAATAAATAAATTAATTAATTAAAAAAGAATATATAAAACACTTCAAATACAAAAAAACCCCTTTCTTTTAGACAAACTTCTCTTCAAGTTCTCTTAATTCTCATCCACTTTACTCTTTCTGAACACAGAATTTTTCTAATGATCCATTTTCAGACTCTTTTGTTAAAATTATGTTTTTGCTTAGGTTCTATCCTCAAACCTTTCTCATTCTCTGTGGACAATTCCAGGGAATATCATGGTTCTAAGTAAAATCTCTCAGATAACCCTCAAATCCACAATTCAATCCTATTATTTACAGTACATCAATTACATATACTAACCATTTTCTTGAATAATTCCAAAAAAATTTACAACTGAAGAATATTTGCAATTAAAGTAGCATCTTTAATACTGTCTTCACTCTCAGTATTCCTTAGTGTAATAAGCTTTCACACCAAAAATTCTACCAGTCACATGGTAGCCAAAGTGATTGGAGGACATTAATTATTTGCTGGGTCACTGCATTTACAGATTATGTCCATGGCTAGGATTTGGCTGCGTTTTTCTTGTTGAGGGCTGAAGTGGAAATTGACAGGTCAACTTCAACTTCCTGTCTTTTTACATGTGCATGGGCAACCAACCTCACCTAGCAAAACTTTGCTGGCAAGTCCAGAGAGACAAAGAAGCTTTAACTCTGCCTCAGGCTTACTTGTTTGAGTGCAGATACTAAAAGACTCCGAAGTAGGTAGAGATTTTATGGTACATACACAATTTATAAGAAACTTAAAATTAGATTTGCTGTTGATAATTACACCAGAAAACTTATGTGTGATAGTTTTCCTAAATAGATGATCAAAACCTTCAATGGTATTAAAAAAAAGTGTCATCAATTTTTTTAAATACCTAATTTTACCTCCGTGTATGATTATTTATTAATTCTACATAAATATATGTTTCACTTTATTTTATTTTAAAATTTTAGGTTAAATTTTCCATTGATTGAACATTATTATACATAATTTTTCACTCTTCATTCAAATGAAGTAACAAATCAAATTAGGAAGATTATCTCAATGATCAAAATACTCTGGCTTTCTAAAATTTATTCATTGCTGACTCTAATATGTAGATATGTATTTAACCTCAGAGTTTTAAAAGTTCTCTTAGAATGGTTAGTGGAATATGTACTATTTTTAAACAAAATGGATGGAGAATATTGTTCATTATATCATTCTTTTAAAGGTACACGCAGAGCTGGATTGTGTAGTAGGTAAAATGCTTGCCTTGCAAGCAGCCAACATGGGTTTGACGCCTAGCACCACGTATGTTCTGAGCACTTCCAGGAGTGGTGCCTGAGCATCGATCCAGGAGTACTGAGTACCATGGGAAGCAGCACCCCCTCCAGCACCCTCCCTAAAAGATAAAAAGATATGTAGACTTGGCTGCCATGTTTCAAAAATCACCATGTCCCACACAGCTTTTTGATTATAGAACTCTCTGCTTCAAAATGTCTATTTAGATGACGCTAAACAATTGTTCTAAGAATGCGCTATTGGAAATATTAGTTCTATTACAAAATAGTGCGAGTGTGGTGCAACCAGTTTTAGTTCCTTCATGAAATTTAGTATCAAGTCTTATTTAGAAGCAAAAGATGAAGATGATAGTCCATCATTCCTTTTTCCAGAGGGTCAAAATATGGTTGTGGTGAATTTTGTGTGTTGTATAAAATTGTTGTCTGAGCTGTTAAAAAATATATCCCAGATTTCTTTTTGTAATTCTGACTACAAATAAAGAAACATTATTTTTAAATGTGATAAAAAATAATAAGGAACCAGTTTTGGGATACTAAATTATATTTAAGTCAAAGAATTATAAACTATATTTTCTTCTTGTCCAAATTTTCTTTGATTTTATTTTCTCTTCAAATACATTTACTAGAATGTGAAATAATGTTTTCTTGATCACAATTAGGTTCTAATTCATCTACGTCTATAACATAGAGTAAACCCAAAGTACACTAGTTTTGTTAGAATGACTTACTTGTTATATTTATTTTCAGTGATGGTCATGGTCCTCCTGTTGTTCATCGATTTGCTCGAGTGGGCCCAGTAACGTCTCCATTGGAGACTTTGTTTTTATTGTGTCTGGCATATTGAATACTCTCGGTAGCTTGCTGGGCTCTCCGAGAGGGGCGGAGGAATCGAACTCGGGTCGGCCATGTTGGCTGTGTGCAAGGCAAACGCCTTACCCACTAACTATGCTAAATTTAATTTATGAATTCTGCTAACTGCTGAAGGAAGTATTCTGAATTGTTCATTACTGCATATATCAAGTATTCTTAATATATTTCATTTTATGTATATAGTTTCCCCAGCATCTTATAGTAAACTCATAGTACCCAATATGAGAGGGGTAAGTTTACACTTTGGTTACAAAACTAACTGAAAGTACAACATTTAATGTGGTAATAAGTTGTTTTACTCTACTAATGGCCCTTACTTGAGCAAATATTACCACATTAAAGTAAAGGAACTGGAGGCCACGAGTTGCCGCCCATGAGCAGCTCTCCCACATGACTACAAATAAGGAAGCACACAGACCTAATTCAGAACCCAGCAGCTTGCTGCAGAAATGTGAATGGACTATGCGTTAAACTACAGCGCCGTGCCCCCCCCCCCCGCCCCCGGGAGGGAAAGGGTGTCTGTCTCTTCCACCTTTCTCCCCCTCGGCAGCAGGGTGGCTGCCGCCTCAGAGCTTACTGAACAGCCAGGTATGAGTTGGCCATGATGAGGCAACTGCAGCCTCATGGGAAGGGGGGTGGAACTGACATGTCCGTCCCCCCTGCCACGGCCACGAGTTGCCCCCCACGAGCAGCTCTCCAGCAGAACCATGGCCCCAGAGGCACACGGACCTAATTTGGAACCCAGCAGCTTGCAGCAGAAATGTGAATGGACTATGCATTAAACTACAGTGCGTGTCCCCCAGGAGGGAAAGGGTGTCTGTCTCTTTCACCTTCGCACCCCCTCCCCTCCGGCATCACAGTGGCCACTGCCTCAGAGCTTGTTGGACAGTCAGGTATGAGCCAGAGGTGACGGGGCCATTTGCAGCCGCATGGGATGGGGGACGGAACCCACACATCCTTCCTGCCCTACTGAGGCCACAAGTTACCCCCCACGAGTGGCTCTCCAGCATGGTCATGGCCCCAGAGGCACACAAACCAGTTTCCTAATTATCCAGCTTTTGGCAGAAATCCCTTGACTTATGTAGTAAAATATCAGAAATCCAAAATCATATGGTTTTCATATAGTCCTCATAACCTGCAATAGAAAACAAATTATTTCACAATGCCTTTTCAACAGTTCTGATTGTTGGGGGGAAATTCCAAATAATAATGGTGCATCTTTTGTCGAAATAATTAATGTAATCAAAGTAGAGAGAGAGTTAAGTAGAAATCATCTGCCTCACAGGCATCGGGAGAGGTGGGAAGGAGGGTATACTGGGGTTCTTGGTGGTGAAATATGTACACTGGTGAAGGGATGAATGTTTGATAATTGTATGACTGAGACTTAAACCTGAAAGCATTGTAACTTTTCTCACAGTGATTCAATAAATAAATTTAAAAAAATAAATAAAGAACTGAGTTGTTTAAATGAATTTTATGTTAATATAACGAAAAATAATTTAAAATTATTAAATTAATGCTTGTAACTAGGTTTTGTAAGGTGCCATTTCTAAAAGATTCATGTACATTTGAATTTTATAGGCCCTAATAAATAATTCAAAGTAATTGGATTCTTTTATAGAACAAAACAGAGGTAACTTGAGTAATTAATGTTACTTTTACAATGTTCATTTTCTTTAAAAATAAGTCAACTAAGTGTATGCTTTTTCAAAATAATAAACATGTTAAATATAAATTTGAAGCAGCAATATTTCATATTGTATGCCCCTATTAGCTTAATCAGCAGTGTTATCTCAACAGCACAGCTTTTAGTTCAAGAAGTGAGGTTCCTATGAATCCAAATAAATCATAAAGACAGATTACTTACCCAGAAAGATGAAAGCTATCATGCCAGAGATCTTAGGGTTGTTTCTCTGGAAGAAAGGCAGGTACTTACTCCTTCAAAGGAACTGGCCCGGAGATTTCAGCTCCTGCTCTTGCTTCCTAAAATCATCACTGATTCAAGTCAGTTTCCTACGTTACCATTTCCTCACCATCTTTCCTGAGCTGTGAACTTTCCTAATTAGATATAAATTCAATTCTTTTCTCCTGAGTGCACTTATCACAGATATTGTATGTCAAAAATGCCCACAAGCCTGATATTTAGAAAGTGGGTAGGGCGTTTGCCTTGCATGCAGCTGACCCGGTCAGCCCGGGTTCAATTCCTCCACCCCTCTCGGAGAGCCGGGCAAGCTACCAAGAGTATCACGCCCACACAGCAAAGCCTGGCAAGCTACCCATGACGTATTCGATATGTCAAACACAGTAACAACAAGTCTCACAATAGAGACGTTACGGGGCCCGCTCGAGCAAAGCGATGAACAACAGGAGGACAGCGCTACAGTGCTACATATTTGGCACTTAATCACACTTAATCACTTAACTTCCCGTTAGTCGTCGATTTGCTCGAGCGGGCGCCAGTAACGTCTCCATTTGTCCCTGTCGCGTGCTAGTGTAGCCCAATGGCATCTCTTCGCTCCGGGAACATGGAGGGCCTCAAACCGATCGTTCATGACCTTGACAAAGAAGTCTGACCATCTGGTAGGTGGGCGGCCACACGGTCTCTTGACATCCCGTGGAATCCAATCAGTAACAGCTCTAGTCCAACGGTCGTCTTTAAATCTCATTACGTGACCAGCCCATCTGATTTTCGACACCTTGGCAAATGAGACAGCGTCCCTGATTCTTGATCGTCGACGGATGTCGGAACTCCTCTAATATTTGGCACATTTATGAAAAAGTGCTGTTTTTTTCTCAGCACTTTCTAGAATCCCCAGTTTTTCTAGCCACTTGAACATGCTCCACTTCCACTTCAATAATTGACCTTACTAGGAAATTTTATGCCATTTGGGAGTATGGAGGGGAAAATGAATAAGCAATTTAGGAAGATCCTTGGGGACTCGAGTTCCACCTTAAGCTGATATACTTTGTTTTCCAAACAAGAACTGCCCTTTCGATGTACTTCAAACGCCACCACCCTGAAGTGTTGGTTCTTTCAAGGGCTGGAGAGATAGCAGGTAAAACACTTAATCTGCCCACGACTGGACCAGGTGCTATCCCCAGCACCTCATACAGTCGCCCGAGCACTGTTAGAAGTGATTCCCTGAGTGCAGAGCCAGCAGTAAGCCCTGAGTACAGCCAGGTATAGACATCAAACCAAACAAATAATAGGAATGAAGGATTGGCCCTTTCAGTGACCAAGCCTCAAACCCTCTCAATACATTGCTCTTTATGGTGCTGCAATGCTCTGTTCCATAGGGAAGATCATCCTCACTTAGTGAGATCATCTCCTTGACTCGCAGAGGGTCATTGCAATGATCTGAATATTTGTAGCAGCTGCCCCCTCAAATTTATAACGTTGAGATCCTAGACTACAAATATTAAATAACGATATTATCAGGTAAAGCTCTTGGGAGAAGCTTAACTAGTGTGGGTGGAACTTTCGAGAATCCAATCTTATAAAAAAGGGTGAAGAGAGATCCCCAGTCCTCATTCCATTTTCCTCCCAACACAAGATGCTGGGTAAGAGTCAGAAAGATGCCCCATTGGATTCTGACAGTGCTAACACCTAGCCTCCAGAACAATGAGAAATAAATTTGGTTTGCATATAAGCTAGCCAGTCTCTGGTATTTTGATAAAGTAATCTGCATGAATTAGAGATTCTTTTCTCGGCTTGTTTTGCTCCGTATTCACGGTTGTATATTAAACACATACAAGAGCTTCATCACGATCAGGACCATCCTGTTATTCGTCGATTGCCTCGAGCAGGCCCCAGTAACGTCACCTTCATCCTAGCCCTGAGATTTTTAAAAAAGTGCCAAATTCAAGGCTCTTTCAGAGTTAGGAGAATGAGACCCATCATTGTTACTAAATAGCAGCATATTGTCACCCATCAACTTAATTATTCACAAAATAATAATGCTATAAAATCAAATATTTCATTTCAAAGGGAACTCAGACATTAAACTTGTATTATAACCATTACTAAAATAACCTTTTTTTTCCATTTAATCCAACAAAAAAGGACTAAAACTTGAGAAGATTTGGTGGCCTAATAATTAAACAGCTGAGAGATCTGATTTCAGATATTTTAAGCCTTGGAGGTCTATCCTTCTGCTTTTCCTTACTCACTCCAGTACTTACCCTCTCCCCAAATGCAGTCTCCCACAATCCCCTCCCCCCATGCAGCCTTCACTGCCTTCTTTTGTAGCTGTTCCTTCTCTTAGGGGGAAGATAGTCAAGCTCAGGCATGCATCCCCTTGTCTCTGAAGAGCCAGTGTCTCAGGGTAATTAATCTTCCCATGTGGAACTTATTTGACTTGATGTCCAGTGTCATAGATGGAAGTGCCCAAGAGGACTGAGGGTAGGGGAGGAAGTGCGTTATGGAGGGAAGGCACAGGGTCTGAGGAGGAGACTGGGGGAAGGCAGCATGCTCCATGAAGTGCTTAATGTTAAATTTATCAAGTAGTACCATAGGAAAGGGAAACAGATGAGGCACAGAAAAAGAATCATTTCCTGTTAAGTGGAGGCAAAGCAGTCATAATCTTCAAAACTGCAGCAATACACAACCTGGATACAGCATCCACGGTGCGGACCTTTACCATACGGGGACAACCGCTGAGCCCTCAGGCTGGGCTGGCAGGACTAGAAAGTGCCGTGGTCATATACCTGCTCCTCCCCGAAGAACAGACAGAGGCTGGCCGAGTCTGCACTGCTATCTACAAGAGGACACCTTCAATGCTTCTGTGTCATTGATGTCTAAAAGACTTCTTCCCCTGATGTTTTTTTTTAGGTGAAGTCCAATTATGGATTATGCAGAATCGAGAAGGATATGGAAGGAGAAGCTGATAAAACACCAAGGCAGACATGGGCTGCCAAAACGCAGAAAAACAAAAATGATTGTCTGTACTTTTAATGCTCGTACGCTGGCATCTGCTGCATCCATTGAAGACCTTATGGTACAAGCACGAAAGATCAAGTACGACATCATTGGTCTGACCGAAACGAGAAGACATCAATCCCATCATGCTGTTTTCGACACTGGAGAAGAACTGTTCCTTGGAACATGTGATAAAAGAGGCGTCGGTGGTGTCGGTATCCTTGTCAACACAAACTTAGTCACAAGCATTGATTCATTTGAATGCCTAACAACCCGAATCGGACGATTACACTTGAATAAATGTGGCTCACTACCGGCAGTTTCTATCTTTGTTGTCTATGCACCAACATCCAGTTATGGTGAAAAAGAAACTGAGAAATTCTACATGGAGCTGGAGAAATTCTATAAAGAAGATCACACCTTCTACAAGATCATTGTCGGTGATTTTAATGCCAAGATAGGACCAAGAAGATCAGTCGATGAACTCCACATCGGAACCCATGGCCTGGAATGGAACGAACAGGGTGACAGACTGTCTGAGTTCATCATGTCAACCAAAACCTTCCATGGTAACTCACAATTCCAAAAGGCTGAATCTAAACGTTGGACATGGGAGTCTCCCGATGGACGGTTCCACAATGAAATAGACCACATCATATTCAATCGGCGGTTTTGCCTAACCAATGTTGCTGTTGTCCCAAAATTCCAAACGGGATCAGACCACCGTCTTCTTCGTGCAAAATTCTACCTCACAGAACGAGGAGAAAAGAATGCAAGGTTTAAGAAGAAGACTCCCAGAACAACCACCAACTGGGAACTCTTTGGCTCTGTTGCAGCAACATGGGAAGATGCCGTCATTGACAACATTGATGAGGAATACGATCGAATGATTCAGCACCTCCATGATTGTGCAAGGAATGCCAAGAGAGAGATAACCACAAAAAACCGTCTTTCTTCGAACACTCTTGAACTTATTCGCCAACGTGGCGTGGCACATGCCTCAGACAACCACAAGCAAACGTCCGAACTGGCAAAACAGTGCAGAAAAGCCATCAAGGATGACCTCAAAAACAGGAGAGCAGCAGTACTGGTAGATGCAGCAGAAGCTGGGAAAAACATTCGTAATGCCCGCCTGTCCTTCACCAACTACAAAACCAAGATGACTGCCCTCCGACATCATGATGGATCTATCACATCTTCCAGAAGGGCAATGGAGAAGATTATTCATGACTTCTACTCAGATCTCTTTAATAGCCACATCCACTTGCCCACATACCACATACCACATGATGGATATGTCGTTCCCAATGTTCTCCCTTCCAAAATCCAACATGCCATCTCGTCGGTAAAGAAACAAAAAGCACCTGGCCCAGACAAGATCAGACCTGAACACCTGAAGAATTTACCATCAGTACTCATCAATACATTAGCTCAACTCTTCACACGCTACCTGTCTGAATGCAAGGTTCCATCCCAATGGAAAACCAGCAAGACTGTACTACTATACAAGAAAGGAGACATCCACGACATTGGCAACTATCGCCCAATCTGCCTATTGTCTGTCATCTACAAACTATTCACTCGAGTCATCCTGAATAGGATTAGCAGAACACTAGATGAAGGACAACCATGTGAACAAGCTGGATTCCGAAAAGGATTCAGTACCATTGACCATATCCACACAATAACCAAGCTCATTGAGGTATCTCGGGAGTTCAAGATGCCGCTCTGTCTAACGTTCATTGATTTAAAGAAGGCCTTTGATTCTGTTGAGACGGAAGCGGTCATGGAAGCCCTAGCCAATCAGGGCGTACAAACTCAATACATCAGGATCCTTCATGAGCTCTATTGCGGATTCACTACCAAGATCTCACCATTCTACAAAGAAGTAATCATCCATATCAAGAGAGGGGTTCGGCAGGGTGATACCATTTCACCAAAACTCTTCAGTGCCACCCTCGAGAACATCAT